TTGATAATAACAGTTACCATTAATAGTATCAATAACTCATTGTATCACCATTTATCATACTGTAGCATTGTATGTACAATGATTAGCTATTATGGGATTCACTGTATTTGAATATTTAATGAGTTTTTTGTTAACTTTTATGTGAATGTTTTTATTTAATTTTTTCTACAGGTCAATAATTTATAGTTTTAACATTGTTTATTGGTTTTACTTGGAGCATCTAGTATTGATACTACCTACCATGGTGAGTAGAGGCTAGTATGTACCATAAAGTGAATAATTTATTCTGTTTGAGTTGTATATATTAATAACTGAGTGTAAATTGCTAAGTAATTAATGCCATCAAAACTGTGAATAAAGACTGGTTTATAATTCAATAAGTAAATTCACCTTTCTTTTAACATTATGCTGTCTGCGTGAGTGTAAGTCACAATTATCTTAGCAAAGTTCTGTCATGCCACATTAGCAAAAATCATGCCAGTTTCAAGAGAACACTTCTCATGATTTACTTTTATCTAAGTATGGACTGCTTTTGTTCAGTAGTCAAGCTTTCATTGTTCATTATTTAAACAAAAAACTATTTATTAGAGTTATCATTTTACTAAAATACCTAGTCAAAAGAAATTACTAGTTTGCCACACACTAATTATTAACTGAATAGTTTCAAATTGTTACTTAGTACACACAACACAAGTAATAGCTCTATTGCTAACATAAGGTGGACAAGGTAGACCATTACAGGTTGACCTTGTGAAGCAAATTTGAGCCGCAGTTTGCACATCAGCACCACTGCCATCAATAGATTCAGGATTTTCATCGACACACTCATAGACTTTATTGCTTTTATAACCATAGTAATTAGTCATCAGATATCCTTTATATTCTGTAGTCCATGATGAAGGACATCTAGTTTTAGCAGGAATCATCAGTTTAACACTCTTAGTAGATGTATAACATACTGCACAAGGAGCATTATGATTATCCTTTCCTGGAAATATATCATTAACATGTTCGTATTTAGTACCATACATTCGAGAATACCAAGTTGGTTCATTCGTACTCAAATATTGAGGAACTATTGGTAAACAGACATAGTTAGCTCCTCCTCCTGATGAATCCCAGCGACTACCTCCAGTTATCCCCTCATACAGTAGTTCAGCTCCAGCAGGACAGGACTTCCTTCCCCAACGAGTGTACACTACTCCTCCACTTTTAGGACCAGCTTGTCCTACAGGTCTAGTTGTAGTTAAGTGTCAGTATTGAGAGTAACACTGAACACACAACTAGTGACCTCATTGGAAGAGAAAGAGACTAAGAGAGAGAGACTGAGAGAGAAATATAAGAGATTGATATTCTGTTACACAACACTGCTGGTCTTTATATACTGATCCTCCTATTATAAGTTATATTGTAGTTAATAACCAGTTTAAACCAGTCATACAAACCTGTTTGACCTGTTAATATCAGTTGATGTGATGTTGTTAGAGTGTCCAACTTTATGTCTCTTGTAATAAAAACCTGAGTCAACCTGTTTGACGTGAGGCAGTTGTTATAAGTCTTCTCTTGATAATAACAGTTACCATTAATAGTATCAATAACTCATTGTATCACCATTTATCATACTGTAGCATTGTATGTACAATGATTAGCTATTATGGGATTCACTGTATTTGAATATTTACTGAGTTTTTTGTTAACTTTTATGTGAATGTTTTTATTTAATTTTTTCTACAGGTCAATAATTTATAGTTTTAACATTGTTTATTGGTTTTACTTGGAGCATCTAGTATTGATACTACCTACCATGGTGAGTAGAGGCTAGTATGTACCA